ATTTTTTTATTTTAAATTAATAAAATAATTAATATATAATAATTATTAAAAAGATTAATTTATTATTAAAAAATTTATTTAATAGTATATAAATTAAAATTATTTTTAAATTCTTTAAGACCAATTAGAACTAATTAGGACTTTTACCAATCTTTACTTATACCTCAATTTTAATAGCATACCACTCATATTATAATAGAATGCGATTTAATAAAATAATCATTTGAAACTTAATAGATAATAAGTCTTAAAAGTTTGTTTTTCTAGATTACATTCTAAATAATAATTAATCATTGATGTAAAATATTCTATATTAAAATAATATATAGTAGTTAAATAAATTTAGTATGATTCTATAAGTTTATATGATAATTAATAATAATTGTTGATTTTTTTTTTTAAATATTTTCTTTCATTTAATTAGATTTAATAGATTTTTTTTTTTGTTTATTTAATTTTTATTTATAAAATAAATAAAAAATTACACATCTTTAATTATTTTTTTTAAGTTTATAATTCAAATATCTGATGAAAGATTTGCAAAATATATAGCAAAATATTATTATCAAAACTAAATTGTTATTTTTATTGTCTATTGTGATCAAATCCACTTCTACTAAGATTTTTAAATTCTAAGGTTATTGTTAGTTAAGGTTTGAAAAAATATTTTGCTAAAAATTAGAAATTAATCTGAAGCCAGGCTGGTTAACTATAAAATAAAATCAAAGATTCACCTTAAACAGTTCATTTGAAAGTACCATAATCATAGAAGATTTTATAAAAATCAAGTTTTTCAAAATAAACTATTTGGATCATTACTTGTAAAATCAATCATAGATGATTTTACTGGCAACTTAGGTCGTTAGACAAAAACTTGGGATTTAACCAGTCGTCTAAATGGTGAAAGTTAAAATTTGACTAAATTTTATTAAAACTTTATTGAAATTCAGAAGAAGATAAAACTATATCAAACCTTATAAAAATTGGCGAAACTATATAAACAATTAGTGAACTAAAGATTTAAATGTTTTGCCAAATCCAAACAAGCAACCTTACTGGCAACGCTCTCATCTAGTTTTTTTTTTATATTCTCATCAAAATCCGCAAAGGCTTTAACATTGCAAAATTAGTTAAATTTTAACTTCAACATTTTCTTAATGTCATCAATATGTTGAAATTCTCATTTAGTCACATGGATAGGTACGTACATAATCGATTACACATTTGAATCGATAGATCCTTAAATTGTTAGGCCGCCTGAATTAAAGACTACCAAATGAAGTCCAAGAATCCACGATTTTTCACAACTAAAAAGGTCAGTTATTACATATTACAAATCGAAATACCGTTCACATGACTTACCAACTTGGTCATAATATTACTCGAAAGCTTGCTCATGCAAAATAATAGTTTAACGTGAAAAAGAGCTATTCGGGTTTAGCTTATAACATTGAGCCTGGGATACGAAGCGACACAGTTATTAAATTCAATTTAAACAATTTTCATTCATTGATTAAATACAGATATTTCGTTTACTCAACTTCCTTGAAATATGGGCCCAACAAAGTCATGGATTGATGAAATTCGGTTTTTTTTTAGTTCCAATCTTCAATCTCCAGATAAAAAATAGCATAATAATGTGAGATATCACAGTTAATGGAATCTAATAGCAAACGACTCATATGTCAAGCAAATTTTATTTAATTTTCTTGTTTTCAATAGCGTTTTTGATAAGGAGTAGTGCTTTAAGCAATTATATATATAGTATATTATTTATATTTTCATATACTGTACAGTAATTTTTTTCAAATTTGGGTGTTGGGTGGACAATATTCATTGGTTCAATATATATATATTTTTTTTGCCTCAGCATCCTTTTCTATGTTGTTTACATGAACTGAAATCCAAGGATTGAGGAATCTAATATCAGTAAGTACCAAAATTCTTTTTTCACAAAAATTTTCGAAAGAGGGAAAAAAGAAAAAAGAGGTTACGATTTAAATTCGTGATCTTCATATTTTAAAATTTAAATAAAATTATTAAAAGCACTATTTTACGTTATTTGACTTTTAAAACTTAAATAAGATTTTCTCTTGGTTTCAAAAAATAGTACCTTCATTCGTGTTACAATACTTTTTTAAAAAAATGGAAAAATTGATCATATCAAAGTATATCTCAATTGATGATAAAAACGATTCTCTATGCATACAAAAAAATCAACCCTACCGTATATTTTTTTTTGGTTTTTTTATTGAAAGTTAATAAGGATCCAATAGAAGGCATTCTCTTTGGACGTCAAGTAGCGCGTCAGATGACATACTTTTTTCTTTCTCAGAAATTTCAAACCTGTAGAATATAATAACAGAAATATGAGGTTAGAGAAAGTATTGGAAAGGTGAAGGACTGAACAAGCCACTAATGTCAACAATAAGGTGTTCAAAAGTTATGTTGCTTCCTCAAAGAAAGACGCGTGAAAGAAACCAATTATTCGAAGAAAACTTTCACATGTAAGGCAAACACTTCTAAGAGGATAAATAGACAAATCCTAGGGAGCGTCTGCATCCAAGTACTAAGCCGTCGCTCTTAACTTAATACAAAGGATGCCACCAGAAAATGCTTCACCTTTTGAAGCTATAACCTTTACTAACCACTTCATTGATCAAAAGCAGTTAAAGGGGACACGACAAACAGACAGAAACTAAAGGGAAGCGAACATTATTTACTCACACAATGGCCCTTCAGCACATCGTTAAAGGAGAAATAAACAAAACAACAACAATAATAAAGATATTTCCCATAACGTATTGATAAGTAATTATCTTTATGAGGTCGTTCCTTTAATACATTGACTCTTAAGATCTGAATCCCAACCGCCCTAAGCATGAATTCCTTACTCGTTTAATAATACTTGGATCAAAAATCTAACTTTTGATTTCTTATTTTATCGGCAGGTATTTCAACGGCAAATAATGGATACTTAATTTAATGTTAGTTTTCACGTTCCAAAAGATTGGTACACGTAATACCTCAATCCTTTATGGCAGATACTTGTATTTTGGCAATTAGCTATAGAACTGGGATAATACTTGTCTATAGAAATGAGCATCCCGGGTATATCGAACCAGTAGGTCAATCAATATTTCGCGAATATTGTTGAGCTCGTAACCAGAATGGAAAACCTCTACTAATACAATAAATACTTTGAAACAAGGGCGTTAAAACTGTTTTAGTAAAGATGGAAATTTGTTTCTATTGAGTACGAAGAAAAAAGGTATAAGAGTTTGGAAATTTTGCTGTTTCTTTATAATAAAAAAATGATTAAAAAAAAAATGAGTTTCAATTATAATTATTCCAACCATATTTATTTTTACTAAATTTAGTAAGTATTAAAATTTTAATCACCTCCAACTGCATAATGAATGAATTAGTTATCAATAGAGATATTGGAAAATTAATGTCGCGGATTTATTTATTTTATCTTTTGTTCTTTTTAGGACTTTTAGGGTAAAAGATTTTTCCAAAAAATTTCGGTTGTTGATCCACATTTCTGATGACATTTGACGTTAACTTTTTTTAAAAAAACCTGTATAAACAGGCTTACCGCGATTTTTTCTTGTATCACTTAAAACTATGGTGAACTTATTCACCTTTCTTTTTTTTATTAAAATAATTTAAATAATTACATATAATGCAGATAATACTGAAAATCAAATTAAATGAAATTCAATAAACTTTTTAATTTTTACATCAATTATTATCACAAATATTTTTCTCCTAAATTACTCGTCCAGACTTCTACTCACTCAAAAGAACCTGCCACAAAATTCATACCGCATCCAGCTCGACCTCAACCCGTTAACTTCTAGGATGGCTTTATTAGAATGATTATTAAAATAAAATTCAATTGAATTTCTTAAAGCAATATTCCTTTGATTGACTACTTCTTTCAAATTTTACTTCCTCCTCGTATTCTGTGCAAAGCGTAAATCTCAATTGCTTATATTTTTTTTGCGTGGTTCGCTTGACTACATTTATTTACATGGTCATTATCCTTGACAACATGACAATCAGGATTTTCCAACAAGTTTGGCCACAACCATTTCGTTCGTTATGTATATGTGTATTTCTACTCATAGGCTAATTCAACATCCTGATATTATTGTAACAAAAAAAAAATGCCATGCCATACACTAAGTCAAATACAATAATAGATCAGTTTGTTTTTAAATTAATGATTATTAGTTATTACTTTAATTTACTTAACAAAGCCTGCAATATTTTTTATTATTCAAGTTCATTTATAACCAACTATTAAGCAAAAAAGTTTTTTAATCAGTTATATACTGCTGCGCCGCCGTGATGAGTGAGTAATTATACATTTCACCGAATCCAGTGGCACGCACGATTCCGAAAAAGTAGTACCCCTATTTTTCTCCCCTTAAAATACATTCTGATCGACAAGGAAATTCCCCATTTAAGAAAATTGTATAGTGACATTTTCTGTACCATATAAGTATGAACAATAATCGAACTCCTTAATATTTTTTTTTTGATTTAAAAACATGGATAATTATGAACTGGTAGCTGCAGCCTTATCTAAAATTACAAACACTCAAGTGATAACATATAATGAATATTTATCACAAAAAGAAACAAATCCTGACCAAACTTTTCAATATTTTGATTGTAACTTACTTCATGAAATATATCTAGTCAAAGGTGTTGTCTCTTCCAACGTTATTGATGTTGAAGAAAATGATGATGCTATTGTTTCTTCATCTAATGCTGAAGCTGAAGTTTCTACAAATGATTTTGAAAAGGTTTTCATTGCGCTTTCCGGAGAAACTTTGGAAATTAAAAATCTAAATGCGAATACCACAATTAGTCAATTAAAAAATAAGATATTTGAATCTAAAGGAATAGTACCGAATGATCAATGGTTAACGATCCAAAATGTCTTTATAAAGAACATTTCTGGAAAGACCTTGACGGTTAAAAATCTAAATGCGAAAACTTCCATAAACCAATTGAAGAATAGAATTTATGAAACTGAGGGAATTCCACCAAATGAACAATACTTAAATTATGGTCTTAAATCACTTCAAGACCATCAGACTTTAAGTTTTTACGAAATTACAAATGATACAACAATAAATTTATCCACACGTTTACGAGGAGGAGCATCTAAATCGATTGGAGTTCTGGACCGTGATTTCTTGGATCCACATTACGATTACGATTTTACAAACATTAAATCTTCTGGTAGAACTTATATGCGTGGTAATTATAAATACGTGCGACCGTATGGATGGAATCGTATCGCGATAAGAGTTCTTGATAAATATTCCGATAATCGTTGGCTTGGGGTAAATAATAGGACGAAATTTTCGGATTCTGTGGAAGGTGAATGGATAGTTAGCTTTCATGGTACTGCAAAGAATAATGCGAATTCCATTGCGAGAGATGGATTCCTTCTGAGCAAAGGAAATAGGTTTCAATATGGTCGTGGAGTTTATTCTACACCGGATATAGATACAGCTGCTTGTTATGCTGAAAAGTTTGAGTATGGAGGTGTGAATTATCAAGTTGTATTTCAAAATCGTGTGAAACCAGGTACTTTTGACGTTGTATCATCGGAATCCGGATTAAAAATTTTTATTTCTCGTAACGATAAAAATATTAGACCTTATGGTATTTGCATTAGAAAACTTTAAAAATATTTCATAAATATAATCTAGTAAGGAATTTTTTTTTTCACGTCTTTAGTAATAATAATAATTTATTAAACCATAATTACAATATTTTTTTTTAGTAAAATTTCGCAACCAAATGACTACTGTCCTAATTGATAATAAAATAACAGAGAATGATTTTATTATGTTATTGTTATCTTTTATTAATTAAACACGAGCATTTTACCATTTTACATATCCGAATTTTCGAATTTTCATAATCCATTAGTACATATTAAATAAATTTTCTACATGAAGATTTATTTTCTTGTATTTCATTCTTTTCTTTTCAAATTCATACTTGAAGTTTGTTTTACTACCTTCAAATTTCGAGTTAAAGGTAAGATAAATTTTACAAAGGCATTTTTTTATAATTGGAGGCGAATGGCGACCAGTTAACAAAATTATATCAAGAAAAGGGATATGATTTTATTAAACTATCTAAAAAAAGATAAAAAACGAAGCCTAAATTAAAAATTTTATATACAGTAGATAACGATATAATATAATTCTTTCTCAATATGATCATTGATTCGAAATCAGTCAAGTCGCAACTATAATTTTGCACGTGCGGTGATGATTAAAATTCAAAAATTCTGAATAGTAAATTTAGTAACTATTTAATTTTTGGTCTAAACAATTACGTTTTTAATATGATTTTCGGAATTTCGGGAATTCGAAGTTTAAGAGAGCTCCCATCATATGAAATTAGATCTACGTTGATGGCCAGTTACCCATGATTTTCATATTAGTTCTTATTTGGAAAAAAAGAAAAGAAGACACAAACTTTCTTTTTTGGAAAAAAATAAAAAAAAATTATTTTCCTTTTAAAGTTAAAATTATCATGCAACTTTTTGCAATCCGAATCACATCCATTTGTATTGGATTGTTTATTTATTTATGTGAGAAAGTTCTTTGGTATCATTCCATTTTTTCCTTATTGATTGATTATACTCAAAATGGCGAAAATCTAACCTTTTGTGGTATGGTCAAATGGATCGTTTGCTAATGAGTCAAAAAAAAGTATTGATCTTGATGGATTTGTGGTATGCATTCTTGATAGACATTTCTGTGAAACTCAAATTTGGTATAGATCAATAATGTAATACAATATCTTCTGGTATACGCGAAATAATATGAAATACATATGAAGGAATTTTTTTAAAAAAATAAAAACCTTCTCGCGTATTTATATTATTTGCGCATAAGGAACAACCAAATTTGAGTTTCACAGAAATGTCTATCAAGAAATATACCGAATTTAGTAATGTCTATCAACAAGTCCAATACTTTTGCATTAATGAGAAAATAAAGACTTTGTCTAAAGAATGTTATATCACGTGACCGTTTCTTTGAAAAACAGTTTCTGAATTTTGTTATAATCATGTTAAATAATTTTAAAAATTTGGAAAGATACAAACGCGAATAATAATTGATCAGATAGAAAAAAACTAAAATTGTCGAATATAAATGCAAATAAGAAAATGACACAGGATCTTGATAAATAAAATAGGAACAACGATTTTTTATCAAATGTTTACACGTGCCTCCTACCACTCCGAATTTTACATTCACCATTATATCGAAAAATCAAACGTTTGGAGAAATGTAACTCGGAATCTAAAGCAACATTTTAAAACGGCAAGAGAAGGATCGTGGTTCTCAAGGTAACTAATTTTTTGTCGGTTTAACTAATTTTACCCACTTTCTGATTGGCTGGTATAATCAACCATGACCAAAAATTCCAAGTTCCTTAGATACTTTATAAAAATTGAAACACCGGTGTCAACACCGGTGATAAATCTAACCCTAACCCTAACTAATATCAAATATACCAGCCAATCAGAAAGTGGGGATGAAATTAGTAAAATCCAAGAAATGATGTAAAAAAATTATATATAACATGCACGGTTTGTTTCAGTGTTACCTTTCTTTGAAACTTACGAGATCCATCTCTTTCACGAGATGTGATTTCAATGAACGCGTTTGCATCATTAGATATATCAACCATATGTAGTACTGAACAAAATCATATGACTACTGTTTACTCAAATAAAATTTATGAAAAATTTTTATTTTCCATTGGTTTTTTTTTTAAAAAAAGTGAAATGTCACATTTGATTCTTGTTATTGTTGAAGATAGCATTTTCGTAGAATTTGAAGTGGAAAATAACAAAAAGAAATCATAATATTAATATATTTTCTAGAAGAATAATGTTGCATAAAGGACCTTTAAGGATTCATAGAACTCCAAAAAGATAATCAACTGAAGCATGCGTTCAGAGCATCCTAAGTTTCATCTCAAATGAGATATTCTTTAGTAGAGCACGACAATGCAAACGTGCACAATTTTTGAATGATACATAGCATCGCAAAAAAAATTTGTTAAATTCACAAAGTAATTATCGTTCATATTTTTGAACTAATTTACAGCCATTGTACTAATGTTGATTCATTTTTTATGCAAACGAAGTTAATTTTGGTATTTCATTGTAAATTTAGTAAATTCTTTTTAGATAAGCATTGTATTTTGTTTCAAATTAGACATTCATGAGTCATTGTGCACCTACAAGCCAATAATAATCGAAACAATTCTTTTATCAATACTGGGTGTTACAAACAGGTGTGTCTTCACGATGTCCATTTATGGGAAACTGGAACTCTCTCCATTCATTGATATAGCTAATGACAAAATTTATCACGCAAATGAGAAATCCTAGGTTTTCATTTAAACTGATGCATAATTATTATGTTAATATGTAACTTAAATTATCAGCGGATGAAAAAAATTTTTATTTTCTTAAAACATCCAACTTTCTCATTCAATTAATTACCTTCTTTTCGGTTCGCATTTAAAACATATTTTTCGCAACTTTTAACAATGCAACGTCTGCCTCCAGCTGGGTGGTCACGTCACCTTTTATTTTACCTTCATCGATGTAAATATTGTTCACCCAATTCCAATCCACGCGAGTATACGCGCCAGATCTCTCAATTATCAAATCCATCACTTCCTATGCCTGAACCAACTTATGAACCTTTTCATTTTCCTGATTCTCATAATAGTTCCGCAAAATATAACGAACGATTGCATTCATATGCATCTTGTCAACTATGAAGATATTCGGTTTTCTGTAAATGATAGCATAAGAGTCGTACCGTCTTTAGCGACCGTGAATCTTTAGTAATAAATATAACAGACGAAAATATTGAGAAAGTATCCCCAATGAATAATCCTTCTTGGTGGAGACAGACGAATTTATTTGGCTTTATCCCTATCGCAGCATAATTTTAATCGTATCATTACGTTCGGACTAATCCAAGTTTTTTTTAAATACGAACAAAGAGTTAAACCATTTAAAATTTAATTTATTTACTTCCTTTGTAGTCCTATAATAATGTTTGTTTCCACTTACGTATTTATTATAATTACTGCTTTAGAATTGGCTCCTCGTGTAACAAACATTTACCAAATTCAAATGTCTCTGCGACGTTCTCGCTATAATGTTGGGTAAGATTCTCAGTTAATTGATTCGAGTCAGAACTTCCCCAAATTAATGTTTAGTTTATTATTAACGTTCACTCTGTTGCTATTGAAAATTCTTTGGAATTTATTGGATTGATTTTTATGATACGCGGTAGAAACAAATTTTATAATTATTTTTTGTTGTGTTATCGAGCTCTACAAAATTTTAACTTGCACTTTAGAATAACATCTTTATCGAACAATTGTATTTCATTAAAAATCAAAAAGAAAAAAGAAAGAACCTTGAAGGAACAATCTTTAGAGTATTGTTGAATATTTTTTAAATTGAGCATTCAACAAGATGAATGTTTTATTGAACAAATGTATTTCATTCACAATCAGAAAAAAGAAAAAAAAGGAAAAAACCTTGAAAGTTCTTTAGAAATTTAAAATTAAATTTTTTATTTTTTATTAAATTGAAATAAAACATGTGCGAAATTTTAATATGCATTTGACGCATGGAAATTAATTGCATAATCCTTTTAAGAATCGAATTAAAATTTTTATCATGTCATGTAAAAATAAAATTAATAATGAACTTTAAACACTTTGAGTTGTTGTCTTATTATTATTTTTTTTTATTTTAAAATAAATAAGATATTCATACAAACATAAAGGGACTTCTAAGAATAATAATAGTGTTACAGAAATTTCTTATGATTGGTGTGGAACAAATGTAAATAAAAAAAACTATAAAAGGACACATCAGAGGTACCAGTTACAATACTCCTTTCTTTAATTAAGAATTCAACCTTTTTTTCTAAAAATTTTTTTGTCATTCTTTAATATGAGAGCAGCACCACCGAAATATGCTCATTCCCAAGTGGAACTTAAACTTTCTTGTAACGATTTGCCAGATTTAGATTATCTTTCCAAAAGTGATCCACAAATTATTTTATTGATTAAAGACATTCGTACTCAAAAATGGAAATCAACTAACCAACAAACCGAAGTTGTTATGAATAATTTAAATCCAAAGTTCGTAATAAGCTTTATCCTTGATTATTTATTTGAAGAATTACAACAGCTTAGGTATGTAAACAAGATTTTTAATTTTTTAATTTTTTTAATTTTTTTTAGTTCATTTCAATTTACTTATTTGTACTTTAAAGATTTATTTGTGTTGACGTTGATAAACCAAATAATTCTGATTGGCAAGATCAAGAATTTATCGGTCAATTTGATTGTGACCTTGGTTCTTTAGGTAATTTATATATATGTTTTGTTATTAACTTTTAAAACATATTTAAACAAAACAAATTTATATAGTTGGTTGTCAGGGTGGTAAGATGAAAGGAAAATTATATGATCCGAAGCATCAAGGAAAAGATCGAGGATTTATAGTCATATCAACCGAAGAAGTGAGCAAGTCAAAAAGAAACGCAAGGTAGGTAAATCTTGGAGTATTAATTTTTGAATAATACGATACGATAAATAAATGTTTACCCTTTTTTAAAAAAATAAAAAAATAAATAAAAATTATTAGATTAAAATTTCAAGCTAATAATATCTTTTCAAAGGTAGGAAGAATTGATTCAAATTAAATTTTTTTTTTTTTTAAAAAAAAAATTTTAATTTTAATTCAATTAAGATAATTTTAATTTATATATGTTTTCCTGATTATTTCAGAGCGGTTTGTTTAAAACGAAACCAGAGGTATTTTTAATCGTCAGTAGAGCAAACGAAGATAACACTTTTTCACCAGTTTATAAATCTATTGGAATTTCTTCAGCGAGCCCAATGTGGGATGCCTTTACCAGTAATTGCATTTTTTTTTAAACCCAATTATTATCATCATTATTGTTATTTATTTATCATCAATTTATTCCGCTTTTTTACAGTCAAGGAAGCAACTTTATGTAACGGAGATTTAGATCGACCATTACAATTACAAGTGAGACAAGAAAAGAAGAATGGATGTGCGTGATTACATTAAATGGTATTTCTTGAATAATTTTTCCATGATGGAAAAAAAAGATTAATAACAATGTTTATTAAATTATAGCTTACCTAATCCTTGGGCAATGTACTGTCACCCTTAATGAAATTTTAAAGGGTAAAAGGTTATATGCATTACGCTTACCTCCAGGTACAAACGGGAAAGTTGGAAAAGATACAAATATAACGGTTATTCACGCATCAACCGAAGAGCCTCCAACGTTTTTAGATTACATTGCCGGCGGTACAGAGATAAATCTTGTAGCCGCAATTGATTTTACAGGATCTAATGGAGATCCTCGAACGCCGAAAAGTTTGCATTATATCAATGGACGAAGGGAAAATGATTATCAAAGAGCGATTCGTAGCGTTGGTAAGATGTAAGTTGACTAGTATCAAATGGGAAATATGTTTTTATCATGCTCTTTTTATTGATTTTCTTATATTTTTTCTAGATTGGAAGGGTATGATTATGACAGAATGTTTCCAGTATATGGATTTGGTGCAAAATTCAATGGGGTATTATCACATACCTATCCACTAAATAATAATTTCAGTAATGTATGTTGGTATCTGACCTTTGTTTTGACACGTACTGATCCAAATAATAACTACTTTTATTTTTTTTTTTTTAAGCCTGAAGTAGAAGGGGTTGATGGAATAATGGCTGCATATTCGCAGGCAATACATAGTGTTGAATTATATGGCCCAACTTATTTTTCACCCGTAAGCTTAACCGAAGAAGCAAAGTTTGATAAATATTTTTAATTATATTAATATCAATTTTTTTTTAAAAAAAACTATAGATCATAAATCAAACAGCGGAGAGAATTAAAGAAGAAGTTGCTGTCGGAAATGACAATGTTTATTATATATTGTTAGTAATAACAGGTAATTTAACAAATTAATGACGCGAATTAAGCCCATATAATTTTAAAATATATATATATATATATATTTATTAATAATTTTTTTTTCTTTTAAACTCGTATTAGACGGTGTAATAACAGGTATTTTATTCTCATATATCCTACGATATTTTAATACTTTTTTTTAAAAAAATCTTTTTTACTAGATATGGATTCTACGATTAGGTCGATAGTGAGTGCTAGCGTACTTCCGTTGTCCATTGTTATAGTTGGAGTCGGTAATGCCGATTTTACCAATATGAATATACTTGATGCCGACGATAGACCATTAGTCGTAAGTAATATGTGATTTTTTTTTTAAAAAAAAAAAAGATTTAACACGTGTATATATTATATTATATTAGCAAAAGTCGGATTATCAGACGAGGAGGACAGAAATTGTAATGGATAGAGATATAGTACAATTTGTAGCGATGAGAGATTTTCAAACAGAAACAGCACAATACCAACTACCAAAAGCTGTATTGGAAGAAATTCCCGATCAATTTATGAGTTATATGATGAAACATAACCTACAACCAAGAGATCCTATTAGAAGAAGAACCATTGAATTAGAGGTTGATGTTAGATTTGTTGGAAGTCCTGATGAACCCCCACCAGCTTATACTTCGTGAAACGAAAATTGTATTTACTCATTCAGTTATTTATTTAACGCTAGCTATTATTCACAACTTATAAGTTATCCCATTATTAGACTTGATTAATAATATGTATTTTCTTATTAATAAAAAAATCACTACTTTTATTACGGTTATTTATCTATCTTGTCAAGTCTTTTAGATTATCGGAAGAACTAGATGATGCGTAACAAAGATTATCACATACACGTTTGTTGTGATGAGATGTAAACAATTAAATTTAGAGATAGCACCTTTTTTTCTATGTAACTTTGGATTACAAATGGGTTATTATTATTCAATGATTATTTGAAATGTCACAAGGATACCATATCATGAATGTGATGGAAAATCTTATCAGAAAGATCAGTTGATTTCTCAAAAATGGACGCTTTGTTATTACGGAGCATATCAATTTGTAATGAAATGATTTTACGAGAGGATTTTTATTGAGTATAATTTTTTTTGGAGAGTTGTAAAGTCACAATTATTAAAAGTTTTATGAAAATAAATATTTTAACAAAAAAAAAATAATTTTAATTAAAAAAAAATTTCTTAATTGGAATTATTGAAGGAATTTTAATGAAATGATGATGTCCTTCATGAGTAATGATTTTTATTTAATTCGTATATGGTGAACTTATTAATCCGGAGCATAGCGAAGGACTATATCCAATCATTTGCTTCACCTGACTCCACGACCTAACCTAACATTAAACTAACTTTAATCTACAAATATTAACGTTAACTCCTAAATTTTGATGTAGTTTAATTCTGACCAAACAAATTTAGTATTATTTCGGATTTACATTCTTGGACCTTTCTATTTTTAATACCAAAATTTTAGTGGTTACACAGAATCTTACATCTATTCGTAAAGCATGTGGCAAAAAAAAAAAATATCTCTTCCTGACAAAAATAATGTGATATTTTAGCGAACAAACATCAAGCAATTTTCCATTCATCCAACCATTCATTCATTCAATAATTTTATTCTTCGCGACATCATTTAACAAAATCATCCTTATATATTTTATTCTTAAAATTCTAGAATAATTCATGTGGAAATTAATTATCGATAACAAATTTTCATTTCAATCCATAAAGGAAAGCTTTTTAATTATAAATCTTTGATAAATAAAAATATATTTTAAGAAAAAAAAATAAATGTATGGTTCTAAATATTTATTGATTTAACAAAGATGGTTCAATAATCAACATTTTTTGAATTAATTTCATCATCATCATAATGAAAGAAGCAAACAATTGAACCACCTCTTGTTTTCTCGATTCAAAAAAAAAAAAAGGGTTTCAGTCAGATGCTAATAGATTTTAATACAGTATATCAATAAATTCATCCCTCTCTCACTCAAGAAATATAAAAATGTGTATATTTTGTCAATTATTTTCATTTTTTTAAAAAAAATAAAATAAAAATAAAATAAATATAATAAATGAAATAAAATTTATATAACATTATACCGTATATTTCTTTTAATTTATCAACATAATGTATTACTACATACTTTCCGTACTTATGCTCCGGACTTAACAACGGAAATTTTCGGTCGCCTCACCGGTCTTATAACAGGTTACATCATACGTATCATTACCTTTTTTGGTAATTCAGATGATTATTTCTTCCGAGACTGGCATAATAAAAACCATCGCGAGGTTTTCGTATTTTCCAATTTCTTTTTCCTCGATAGTTTCAATCTTTTTTTTTTTTTTTTTTAATCCCAGAAATACGTGATAACGGAAACGTTTTACAGGAAAGTTCAAGAAATAAAACGATCTTTATCTATAGAAAATTAATATAGAAAATTAGTAAACGTCATTCATCAAAAATTTCCAACAAACCGACTTTTTGTTCTTCGCCATGGATGAATCAATTATGACGAGTATCATTTATGATGATGAATATAGTTTTGAAGAAAAGATCCAATTGATTTCAAGGGTGAATCAAAATTTTATTAAAAAGAATCAAGAATTGCTCGATAGTAAGCAACAAATCATTAATGAACAGACTCAATTGATTAAATTTCAACAAAGGTTACTTGATATGTTACAGGAGAAACAATTTGGTAAATGTGTTTGCGCCTGCGCTAAAAAGGTAGAGAATAATAAGGTTTCTAACATGATTAATGATGATTTGATCGAATTGTTTGATGACGAAACTGTCGTTTCCAACAATTCTCGTGGGAAACCCATGACGGGCTATGAAGAAAAATGTGGTCGTTATCTGAAGGGTGAGTTTTTTTTTTCCACCTGTGATTCACCTTGAATATCCAAAATCCAGATTCTCTTGATAACAATAGGTTACTATATATTTTTTTTATACCCCGCCTTTTTTCTTTGTTGTAGGTATAAAGCCTTGTTACAAAGTATATATTGGAAACTTGCCACCGCAGATTTCAATGTTCCAGCTAAAGAAGTATCTTAATGAACTATTTGGTAATGTTGATTATATCTATAAGGTTGTTCCAAACGTGAGTTTCTTTACCTAGTTGAAGTTGGTCAAATAATTAAACCCAGACTAAATAAAAACTTTTTTTTTTTCTTTTTTATTTCGTAGGATAAATGGGCGTTCGCCTTATTTTCGGATTATAATTCCTGTAAAAAAGCGATTTCTCAAGGCTCCGTAAGATTTCATGGTTTCTCGGTCAATCTGCAAATTCCTCATGAACGTGATTATTTCTGAATAAAGGTATGATATTTTATCTATCCAATATTTTTTTTAAAAAAAAAAATTTCTTTATTTTAATTTAATTCCATCATTCGATTTAATCTAGGACCTATTCCAACTCGATTTGGGATTTAAATGGAGATTCTCATTATGAAGATCGATCATTTTGACGACGACGTTGTGAACTTTTATTTTTATTTTTTTTTATTTTTATTTTTTTTTTTGAAGATAATAATGAATTTTCTTATTTAACAAAGAAAAGAAAAGAAAAGAAATAAAAAAAATGAAATAGAAAAGAAATAAAAAAAATCAATCCACCGTTAAACTTTTTTTTCATAGGTACAGTTGATTATTCTATTATAATTATCAGATTACAAAATGTGGAAAGATACGATTATCATTAAATTTGTAATTAAACACAAAAAAGACGATTGAAAACTCCGAACGGGCATAAATATTACAATTTATTCCGATATAAACTTAATAAATCTGTATTCTTTTTTTGTTGTTGAAATCCATGTTCAGAGAATACTCTTCTTTAAAACGAAACCTGATAAAAATGCTTTCCACAATTATAAACGAATCAATTATAAGAAGCATCATCGATAAAGAAGAATGCAGTAGCGAAGAGAAAGCGAATATAATAGTACAATTAAATGAACAACTAAAAATGTTATTTGAGAGCAGGCAACAGGTCATTAATGATCAAGCCAAGTTAATTTTGTACCAACAAAGGTTACTTGAGATGAAAGTTCTACTAGAAAGTAATAATAAAATCGTCGTAAATGAGAGCCTAGATGGTATCAGTAATGTGACGATTTCTAAGGATAATAATAAGATCGAATTGAATCTTAATGTCGTTAAATCAAAGAATGATGAACGTTTAGGAGTTATAAATCAGAACGAGGATAAGAAAGTTCATGATGACAATAGTACGTTGCGTTTGTATCAATCATTGATTTTTCGTAAAAAAGTGAAAAAAAATAATAATTTTTTTTTTTTGGAGAGCAGACTTAAAACCACTCTATAAAGTTTTCATTAGAAAATTACCACAAAACATTGAAATCATTCAAATCAAGAATCGCTTAAATGAAATGTTTGGTCACGTTGATTCCGTTTATAAATTGATTCCGGATGTAAGTAACGATTAAATATACTTTTTATTCGATTATTTTTATTTTATTTATTTATTTAAAATATATATTTATATATATTATATATGTTGTATATATTAGAGCAATTACGCATTTGCTTTATTTTCAAATTATGATGCATGTCAGCAAGCGCTTTTTCAGGGATCCATCAAAGTTCAAGACAAGTTTCTTCATATACATAACGCTCATGACCGGGAAAATGGTTCAACTTAAGGTAAGAAACTTTGAACCATTTCATAAGACGTATTTTTTTCGTATTAAATAAAATTCATTATAAACGTTACTACTTGATAAAGATTGAATGGGATTGAATGATGCGTGATTTATCATTTTTTATTATTAAGGAAAGACAATGAATGATAAAAAACAAAATAACAGACTGCGACTATATCCACATAAAAAGTTGAAATGTTAGCAAAAATTTTTTTTTAAAAAAGGAGAAAAAATAAAAATCCTCTTACTTTGGCCTTTGCAATTTCTTGATGTAAAGATTCACAGTCAAAAAAAATACATTGCATTCTGCTACTTTAACGCTGCAAGAAAAAAAAAAAGATTTTAATTGTTTCGATAAAAATATTTTTAAAAAGAAAACAAAATTTAACATTTTAAAACGAACCATAATTGAATTTTTTTTTTATTTTTTTTTTTATTTTTTTAATTTTTTTTATATATATATCGGTCCGTCATTTATGAAGGCGAACCGTGTGACCCAAATGGTAAGTTCTCAAGCTTCGTCTTGGTGGCTCTCACATTCCTCGCGACCATTGTGTGGGCCCTTCCTGCCCCACAAGGTTTAAAGGAGTATGATTATTGAGCCAGCCAAAAAAATAAAATTCAAAAAATTAAAGTATCTTATTCTTTTATTTATTTTTTTTTTTTGAATTAATAATTAGATCAAAAGTTATTTTACAAAAGTTTTTGAATTTTGAATTGGGAATATGAGAAGGAAATTGCAGATGTATTTATAAATTTTAATAAAAAGAAAAAAGGAGGGATTAATGACAAGGAAAAAAAAAAGGAATGAGGCTGTGGATGTTGCGTGGCTTAGTTCTCGATTTCCATCTTTCAAAACCTTATCGTTATAGAACATTCATGTCAAATTGTAAGGCTTAGTGGGAAGGAACAATGCTGAAATAAAAAAAGAAGAATTATTGATTATGTGTTCATTGCCGTGATGATGGCTTAGCTTGGCCACCGAGGCTGATTCTTTTTGACATACAAGCAAAAAGAAAATAAAAAAGCAAAAAGAAACGAGATTTTGAATAAATTTAAATATAAACATTTCAAATCATTTGTTTATTTATGAAGTAGGCTTGGGATTCTTGATAAAAAAATTAATTATTTACAACCTTTTAATTCTAATTCAGGTTTAATATCTTGGAAAAAAAAATGCAGATGATCTCAGCCAAGCCCAATTGGAAGTTAAATTTTCGTTCGTTCGTTGATCTCAAAGCCACCCAGAACGGATTGGAAATCGTTTTTTTGAAATCCAATCCAATTTATTAAAAACGAGATTTTTTTTTTTTTTGACTTGTACGCAAACAGGAAAAAATGTCTGTATACAAAGGGTTTAAAGTTTTAAATTCAAATTTTGTTTCAATCATTCGAAAGGCATTCGAAAGTTTTTTTTTTTTTAAAAAAAAAAAGTGCTCGAAAATCATTATCAAAATCACTAATATGTCGATAATCGCATTATTTTGATCCGAATATTTTTAATTTTTGCTCGAATATTCTATCATAATTTTCATACATATTATTAAATATCGAGTTAAAGAACAGAAAAATCCTATGATCCATAAATCCATAAGAGATGACAACTGACGTTTGTGACAACAAATAAATAATTTTTAATAATTTTATAAAATTTGCGATTAAATCAATTACCCGTTTATTTCAGCCTTTTATCAAAAAAAAAAGAGAGACTCAGCCAAAACTTTTTCAAAAAGACATTTAATATAAGCCATTAAGTTTACTAAGCCAAACCATTAATGCAATTCCGCGCCTTATTGGTAATACTAAGCCAAATGATAGGGTCGAATGCTTTTAATGGCAACCGGGTAGGTCATCCTACATTCCTTTTGCACTTTGGTCTTTGAATTTTTCGGAAGGATTAACATCTGATCGTTTCGGCAACCTTCCTTTTTTCGCGTGACTTCATTAGGATATCATTTTTTCATATGAAATTTATCTCGTCATCTTTTTTTTTCCTCCAAAATAGGTTTTGGATATACGAATGCTACCGACATTAGAAACGAATTAAAAAGGGAATTTTTCAATCGAAAAAAAAAATAATAATCGTCAAGGCGAAAACAATGTGTAATGTTTAGATTACATTTTGATGAACTTCTTTAGATAAAGTAGGTATCAATAAAAAAAATAAACTGAAGACAAACTTTCTTTCTTTCTTTTTTTCTTTTTTTTTTTTCCTCCTCCATCTTTCTTTTGCTTAAAACGTTCTAAATGTACATAAACATTCCTTAGGCTTATAATACATAAACTTTTGTTTTTTGTTTGGATTTGTTTTGACACGTTAAATTAATTCTTTGGTAAATCTTTAAAAAAAAACCTCAAAATTTTTAAATATAATTAAAAATTTATAACTGAAAAATTTTTTTTCATCATCAACGGACTAAAGTATACTGAACAAGGTTAAACCCAAAAAAATTTTTTTTTATTATTATTATTTTAAAAATATTAGAACCCCATTTCAGGAAATTGTATAAATATATAGTTTCATCTAAAATTTATTTACAAACCGTTTTTTATGAATTGTGCTAAAGAAAACCGCTTTTAATTGCACAATACAACGACCTCATAAAATTCTCATAAACGTCACTCTAACGTAACGAAGAGGAAGGATTGAAAAAAAAAAACCAAAAAAGTGTAACGTAACTTCAACCCCCTGCACCCATTTACACAGTTTAATTGGCTATTTTATTGATACGACGCCTATTCTTCTTGACACAATCCAAAAACAGAGCACGAAAAAAAAATCACTTAAATATAAAAAAAAAATTATATTACAGATTAATTTTGTTATTCTTTTTGACCATTCCTTGGACTAAATATACAAGAGATCATCTATTGACAAATAAATAAATATATATATATATATTACATGATAATATAGCGTGGTATACATAGAAAGAATAATTATAAAAAAAAAGTACAAGTTACAAGGAAGATGCGGCTTATTTTTCTTTTATCGTTATGTTTCGTCATATGTGTTGCATATAGTCAGAATGTTAAGGATCGAGGTTTTCTATCGAAGATCAAGGATTCAATGTTTATAAAAAGGAGTGTTAAAGAGTCCGTATTTTCGAGACGAGGGATTAGCCTAAAAGAATCAAGAAATATTTTGTCAGATATAAAGAGAAGGGATGCTTTGCCTTTGCCAATGCCACAAGTTCAACCACCCAAAGAGCCCAAGGTGCCCATAAAGGATCCGCCAAAGGCACCAGAACAAGCCAAAGATCCCGCTAAAGAGCCAGCAAAGGCTCCGGAACAAGCCAAGGATCCAGCAAAAGCTCCTGCTAAAGAACCCCAACCCCAACCCCAACCCCAACCTCAACCTAAGGCACCTCAACCTCAACCTAAGGCTCAACCTCAACCTCAACCTCAACCTCAACCACAACCAGAACCACAACCTCAACCTCAACCTAAGGCTCAACCACAACCTCAACCACAACCACAACCTCAACCTCAACCTCAACAACCACCTCAACAACCACCTCCAACGGTGGTGGTAACAAAGAAAGTAAACCCTACTGGATTTGTTACTCCTACAGTTGTGCCTACAGTTCGGCCTTACACTGGTAATAATAAACTTGGCAGTGCAGATAAATTGAAATTTTATCAAGGAAATTCATGGATAGTTATTTTGATAGTCACCAACTTTTTATTTTTCACTTTATTGTAATGAGAAAAAGAAATTTTTATATATATAATAAAATGTATTATTATGAACACTTTTTTATGTTAGATTTTTTTTTAATTTAATTATTTTAATCATTTAGTTGTCAGATTTTGAAATATACCCTAAATTAATTAAGTTTCGTTTCACAATTTGAATAAATAAAATTCTCAAAAAAAAAAATTTTTTTTATAATCTCGTGATTTAAAAATCAAGCAGTTGACCGATTTACAAAATATCATCCTCCTCATATGATTTTCCAATAATTGAATTTTTTATAATATACACAAAAAATAAAAATTTTACCATTTTTTCGACACAGCCGACAAAATTTTTTTGCGCGCTTGGTCAATACAATAGGAATCGTGAAAATAGGGTTAAATCCGAACCGCTTGATCAATTAAATAAACGTGACAAACAAGATGTATATCATAAAAGTTTTTTTCCTTGCGACACAACAATTGATCTTGAACTATATGAAGTTCGAATTTTAAGCCTGTTTTCGAAAAAAAAAAAAAAAAAGTGCCGCTCTTGGCGAAATTCATATATCGATATGAAAAATAAATAAACTTTTTTTGGTAATATAACAAAAGAATTCTGTACTTTTGTAACACATTGATTTAAAATTAACTTCCGTGGCGCAGCAATGAATGAATGAATCCGACTAAACAAAGATATTTTTTCATTTATGCAATAAAATTAGCTGACGAAACACAAAATAAAAATGTAGGTGAAATTTCCGAATAATATAAATAAGTATCTATTTCATATTCTTGTTTATTTTTCTTTCCTTACTTTTCTTTTTTTTTTCAAAAAAGAAGGTGGATTATACAGATACATAAAATATTTGATGTAAAAATCTCTTAAAAAATAAGGATGAATCACAAATTATCTTTATCTGCATTTTTAATATTTTTAATACACCTTATCCAACTGGCACTATGTGAAATGCAAAATGAAGATTCGACGGGATATCTCGACAAGAGAGGATTAAGAACCGCAAATGAAAGTAATTCGAATCATAACTATAACCTTAAAATAAATGATGAAGAACTTGATCGTAAGTTTTATAATGTCGAAAAATTAAATTTAACAGTCGGAAAACTAACCAACCAACCATTCTTTCAATCACAGCTAAAGATTTTTACAAACAATATAAGACGACAATCATTAGTATCGGTGTATTCTTGGGTTTTCTCATCATCTGCTATTTAATAGCATTATTTAAACATAAAAAGGTAACCCACCCACACCATTTGAAGATGATTGATTCCTTTTTGATACTTAATTTAATTGATTAAAATTTTAGGGAAAAAATTCAGTCATATTTTCGATGACATTGATATTATTGGATTTCGTTTTCGACGTGCTCTTTATCTTAAAAAACGGAAAAGACGTTCCATGGCTTTATAAACCATAGTAAGTTTATTCAAATTTACCTTTTACAGTAAAAAAACTTTCCTTGACTAACCACGTAACTTTTCTCGTTTATCCTAACCGAAAGTCTTATTGTTCTAGTAGGACCAATCGTTATAAATTGTTTGCTTTCATTTGCAATCATAGTTCATGAATGGAGGAACAATAAAAAATTTAAAACTTGGTTAGGAAAGCATTCACAATTTGCGGCAATAATGACAGTTGTCGCAGGAGCAGATATTGAAGCTCTGAAATTACTTATTTCGCAGCTCGCTGGATATGAAATGTTTGACGCAAAGTTTTCTTTAAAGGCTAAAAGATGGATTTTATATGGTAGCGTTATTAATTCTCTTTTCGAAGATTTACCCCAATTTGTTATACAGGTGAGTTTTTTTTTGTCCTCCAGTCTATTTTTTTTTTTTTAAAAAAAAAAAAAAAGAAATTATCAAATTAAAAGCGTAAATTACTTTTGAATTTTGTTCCAGATTTTATATAAAGAGAATACGGATAATGATTATTCGTTAATACCATTCGTGACACTCATAACAAGTACGGTAGTATTGCTCATTGATATCGTAGGTCGAATTTATGATGCGCTAAATAGTTCAAATGATAAAGCTGCTGAAGACGCGCTTCCATCAAACTCTCGTGAGACTCGTGGGGGTACCAAGTGAAGATACTTTATATGATAACATTGCTAATGAAAAAGGTAGCCTTGATGAAATTGCCAAACCTACAAAAATATATTAATGGAAAGATTTTTTTTTATTTTTTTAATTATCCTCATGAATTTTGTCAAGACAGTTTTTTTTAGACCTCGGCATGATTTATTCTTAAATTAGCCGAATTTTAATATAATTTTACTAAGAAATTAGATTTATGGTAATAATATTATGAAATAAAAACACAAATATTTATTTATTTTTATAATTTTATATTTTATTTTAAAGATAATCTATATAATACTTAAGAAAATCCTTCAGGTCAATTTCTTGAATAAAATCTATAATTTCTTAAATATTTTCCATTTCAAAATCATAGTTTAAACAATCATTCGTTCTAAAATATCCAAATCATCAGACAACCCAATAATCATTGATTGGCGCTAGGCAGTGCTATCTATAAAAATAGAAATCGATTTTCTACTGTTTATAAAAGATTCTCTTCATGCATTAATCAATTTGCATAAATTAATGTCTTGGCAGCATACATTCATACAATACACAAAACATGAAACACTTACAATTGGTTCTACGCCGCATAATATGTGAATTTTCCTACAATTTCTCTGCATCGAATCCGCGTGATAATTCTATAGTGTTTATTATAAAATTAACAAATATAATACTAAATAAATAAGATCCCGGGTCTATTTAAAATGTAAATGGAATTCATGTAGCTTCATGAATTATATATGCGAAAGCCTGAATATTTTACCCCTTTTGTGTTATGAAAATGTTTCGTAAAATAGTATCCAATTTTGATACTGTATTCGTTAATCTTTAATTGGTTCGAACGAACTAAAACCGAAACAAATTTATCAACTTTAAATTAGGTAATTCGGTTTTGTGACAATCAACTAAATATTATTATCAAAAAATGAAAAATAGATAAATATTATCAATTTTATAAATACCTTTATAATATCGACCATATAGATTTTAAGAATAAACCGGTTTGGAACTTTTTCGTGAATATCACGTGATATCGTAATATCCTATTATTTAACGAACTCTATATTTTTTATTTAATATATTTATAGCATTTTAGGATAATGACATGTTGCGCAATATGTTGTTTACTACTATCGTATAATGTAACAATAACAAATGATGCTTATTCAGGATGTGGTCACAAGTTTGATAGCCATTGTAGTTGCAATAAAGTTTCATCTGTTACATATTTAATTACATGATTAAGAAACTTAATAATTGTTGTAAATACCTCACCTAAAGTTAGATAACTTGATGATGAAAGCATTATAAAGCTTGATAAATTGGTTTAATAAATACACAAATCACCTGAATTTTGCATAAAATAAATATGAAAGCTTATCAATAAAAAGGAAGAAAATCTAAAAATACTTTTATAAGATCTGAACTTATTTTACTAAAAAAAATCATATTTAACATATTATGAAGTAAAATTTTAATTTTTTTTAGATTTTTTTTTTAACTAACTTCTATATAAAAATTAAAATAAAAGAAATAATAATCAAAAATAACACATTAATCAGTTCAATTTAAAGTTCTGAATCAGGTTAGATCAACCTGTGACCTGACCCAACCTGATCTGAAAAATTCAAGTTAACATTAGATCAGATCAAACTTATAATCTGATTTAATAAAATTCAGGCTAACCAATCAAATCAAATGAAATAAAAATATATATATATATATTTTTATTTATATACTTTCTTTTTATATTCTAATAAAGTTTTTTATATAATTACTTTATAATTTAAAAAGTTTAAATTTTAAATTATAAACATTTTTTTAACTAACAAATTATTATTTTTTTTTTTATATATTCAATTATTTCAAAAAGATATTTAAGCACTTTGGTTAAAGAAAATTGATTTTAAATGCCTAACTAAAATTATTTAACAGATTCAAAATATATGTATATAGTTAAACCTTTATGTAACAATATTGCTATTTTGAAAAAAAAAATGTATATCAAGTTATCAGTATATTATAAAAATTTTATATATCAATATTATTATATTATATTGATTAATGTTAGTATAAATAATAAGCCAATCAGATTTCAATAATAAATATCTTAATAAAAATATTAATTTAAAGCAATATTATTTAATAAATCAATTATTAACTCTCTTTCCCAAACTTCTCAAAAAACAAACGAAAAAGATCTACAATAAAAATAATGCCCGTTACTCGTTCGACTTTAGCAAAGAAAAACCAACGTACCAACAACAACAATAACAAAAACAAACGAACTAACTCTTCCAACGACAGTGAACCTTCCAGCTCTACTTCTCAAACTTT